CTAAATTTACCCCGTAAGCACTAAATTATTTTTTAAATATAACCATTCAGGGGAGAGTGGTCTTTCTATGTGCTGTACAGTAGCTTGCTTTACTAATCTAAGCTCACTAAAGATGATTTTTCCTCTTCTGAGACATTACATAACAATAATTATCATCTTTTGCTACAGAGATAAATAAAAGTACTTATTACCTTATTAATACTGTCTTTAATTTGGGGTAGCATACTTTCCAGAAAGATATTGAAGGAAGCGATCAGGATAGTGAGGGGATGCCAAATGACATCATATGAAGAATACCAGGGACAGTTGGGCTTGGAAAAGAACTGAAAGAGGACATGAGAGTAGCTGGCCAGTATATAAGGGGAAAAGGAATGGTGGAGAAGAATTAGATTTGTCAAAGCAAAACAAAAAACAAAGAGAGGAAGTTACAAAGATATAATTATGAAGAAATAACCTTTTAACAATTAGTTTGGTCTCCATCATTAGAAGTAACTAGGAAGCTCTAGCCATTGTGGGGATCCCTGTCCTGGAATGGAAGCTGGGCTTCGTGACCACAGTAGGCATTTGGTATTGTTGTCTGCCCAGCATCCATTTACTCTTCTTGTGGTAGCAGGACCCTGAATTTCTGTGAGGAAATCCCTGTCCCATTCTCAGTCCATGTGGTTTGAGGTGGAGCTTCCTTCCCCATGTGCCTCTTAGGATAAGCACACGACTCATGTCCTCCTAATCAAAGCAATACATTTCCCTTGAGTGCAGCTGGCTCAGGGCAGAACACTGACCAAGGCAGGTTTATTCAATTCTGTGAGAATCTGTTCTAGAATTGCTGTGAGATGCTGGGGAAAAAGGGCAAGCATGGGCTGCTGGCAGCCATCCTATCACCAGGAGAGGAGAGCCCATGAGAAAACAGAGTCAACACAGAGGAAGGCTCTGCTGAGAGAGGAAGAGAGCAAGACAGCCCTGATGCCACTGTATGAGCACCTGAGCCCTGTCTCACCTCTCAAGTCACAATCCATCTCTGGCCTTCTCAAATGTCTGAGCCAATGAATTCTCTTTTGTAGTGAAGCCAATTTTGAGTTAGGTTTCTGTCACTTGCAACCAAAAGAGTTCATCCTGGTTGATACATGGTTTTATGGCTCCTTATAATTCTAGGATCCTAGGTTTCTATTAATGACTCTGCTGTTTCTGTGTTTTGATGTTTTTTGTTTCTACTAGATCAACTTCAATCTCATCTGTCTCAAGTGCCTTCTGTCTAGAAACTAAAAGTAAGCAAAATTATGAATCTTATTCAGTTAGTAGCCTTAATTGCTCAATTAATCCAAATAATTTTATGACTTTGATGGTGACTAGAGGCTCTCCTAAGGACTAACGTACTTGGGCTTTGTGAAAGGTCCTCCCTGCTTTAAATATCTGATGTTGCCTACATTCTGATTGCTCGATAAGTGTACAAGAAATGTTTTAGGTATATGGATATGCTGCCTACACAATAACAAAACTATAAAAATTGAAAATTAAATCTTTCTTTTAGATGCTTGGTTTAATATACATAAGGCCAGCGTGAATATGCTTTAAATTTCTAAAGGCATGAAAAAACAAAATAAGTATATAAAAATATATTTTTTAAATAGTTCATATGTTAACATTAAACCAGTGTCTCTGAATTTATATCCACTGAGAAACTACAGTACAACCATATGATTGAATAAGATAAAAACTTAAAGAATGTTGTTTATACTTTTATCGTAAACTCATTTGTAGGCAGTAGGTTAGTTAAAATTGAAATTAAAATAAGTAGTGTTTGGAAAGTGTTTCAAAATATAGAATCTAGGGAGAATATTGATAAAAAGGAGTGCTTGATCATAAAGTTTTGTTTCATCAAACTTTGTTTATACCAGTATTTTATACTTAAGAGATTAATAATTTTAACTCAAAGTTTAAAGATTTGCCTTTTGATTCTTAAGATTCCACATCTCAAAAGAGAATTAGGGCTAAGAAATCAGTGCATTAGAAACTATACTCAAAGATGGGCATAATCAAAGAATTTTGCCTTTCGTGTTAGTTTAACAATGTCAATCTTTTCATAAAATAGGAATTCTAAAATTTTTTACACATGAATTCTATGTAGGATTGCTTTTGCTCACTTACTCACTTGATTTTGTTTCTACTTTACCAGAAAAAAAAGAAAAGAAAAGAAAAACGGCAGAATTTCTTCTCTGCCAATGAGGAAATAATAGTAAGATCTTTCCTCTTTTTCATCCTTTTGGGAAATTATAAGATGCTCAATTGAGCTTATGTTTTCTCAGAATTTAAAAACCAGGGCCCCATGGAGTAAACTTGGTCCATGGATGTGTGGCCCATATTATACTAACATTAAAATAAAAACATTAGTTGCTGACATTTAAAAATTAAGATAGTTCAAATAAAAGTCAAGATTTATAGTTTCTCTTGAAAAGTGAGAAGACAGGGAGGCACCTGATCTGCATCCATATGGTGGCAATATGCTACAATTGAGTGACAGGTGTCTCCCTTTGATAGGGCACACACTGAACTCCCCACCATTCTCGTTATATTACACCTGGCCAGGTTTGGATTCATTTACATTACCAAAATCAGTCTATCTGCTTAACACATTTTGAGTGAGGTAGAAGGGAGGAGCAGAGCTGTGACAACACAACACCCATGTGGAGAATGAAGGCTAATATTGATAGTTTGGGTCATGCCTGGTAACACTGGAGCTGGAGGTGATAAATAGGAAGACTTGGGTAGTGATGGGGAGTTTCCTTGGTTTAAATATATCTTTAGTGTCATATAAATGTTGAAGCAATATTTGAACCCTATTAATCAAGTCAGGAGTAGAAAGAACGAAAACTGGAGAGGGACAGATTTGTGGTAAGACAAGTGGTAGAAACAATTATATTCACTTATCAAATAGAATTCTTGATATTGATATACCATTTTCCTAAAGGTAATTCAATCATTTTGTAACAATGGTTAAGTTACAGCAGTGGAAAGCAGTCAATAATATGGTTCAAAAGGTCAGGTTGTCTCTTTTCTTCTAGGCATACAGTAACATTGTATTTCTCTGCTGGGTTGAACTTCAGCAGAGCTATGTGACTTGTTCTGGCCAATGAAACGTGAGTGAAAGTAAAGTGTTTCACTTCTAAACAGAAGTTTTAAGGGCCCATGCCTGTTTGGCCACCCTCTTTTTCTTCTGTAATTCCAATGTTCCAGAGAATGCTTCTCCACCAGCCCTGGTTTTAAAGGGCCACCAGCAGACTCATGATGGGCATGCAGTGTGAATGAGAAGTTGCCTTTTGTTGTTTTAAGCCACTGTAGTTTGCTTGTTACATCAGCATAGCTTAGCCTCTCCAGCACTGATCTACCATGTACTTTAACTTCATTCATTCATGGTTTTTGACATGTGTGTCTATTATCCATATTATTTTTTAAATGTTTTTCTTTATATCATTGTTAAATTAAAACTTCTAAAATGTAGCCTTATTTTAAGCAATACATGTGGTATATACTATATATATTTCAATTACAGTTTAATACACATCAAACTAAATACATAATTATTACAAGTAATCTTACATACCACATTTTGGGAAACACTGAGGTAAAATAGGAAAGGAATCTGATGTTTAAGGCTACAAAATAAGAAATTGTGGTCTCAAATCCCAGGTTTGGCTCCAAGTTTGAATGCCATGCCAATATTCAGAGAACTATACTGCTTTTTGATATAACAGAAATCAGAAAGAGACATGTATTATGAATTTAATATGTGTGTGAATACACCATCTATAAACCATATCAGGTTTGCTTGCAAAAATCATTAATAAGGACAGCATTATCAGTGCAATGGCCTAATCTGCATATGCAAATCCAAAGGTGTGCAGGTGTAAAGGGTAGATACATACACATTTTTACAGGCTTCCCCATTGCATCCTTGAGTACTTGACCTTTAGCATCAATTAAAATCATTATGTATACAGCTGGTAAATGTTATCTTATGGGTGACATAGATTCATGCATAATTACCATTTTCCAACAGACTGAGTAGATTACAGAAAGGGGTGGGGGATGTTTTATAGGGGTGACAGTCAAGAAAAGGTCTTAGAGATACCTGCCATTTGTTGCAATATGACCTAAAACTACAAACAACCCATATATATTTACATTGTATAAACAACATGCATTCTAAATGTAATTCATGTATAATAGGAAATACATAGGTGAAGAATTTAGATATCAGAAAGAAAAAAACTGTTTTTTCAAAAAGACGATTAAAATAATTAAAGCCATGTTATTTGCAGAATGAGTTTTGGAATTAGAGATATTTATTGGAATTAGATATTATTGGAATTAGAAATTCAAAAAAGGAAAGACTAACAAGAGACATAATAGCCATTGCCAAATATTTGTGGGGTTGTCACAGCAAAGAAGAATTGGATTTATGTGTTCACGCAAAAAGGAGGTAGGATGGAGAAAAGTGGGCAAGTCTACAAATAAATTTTAGGCTAAATTAAGAAAGGTATTTCTGGCTGCTCATCTTTGGGCAGCTATTGCAGTCTTCAACAGGGATCATGTGATCTATCCCTACAGGCAGATAAACTCTTTCTATCAGGAATGGGCCAGACCCATGGCACAGTGGTTAAGTCTGGCACACTCTACTTCAGTGGCCTGGGTTTGAAGGTTTGGATTCTGGGTGCAGATGTACACCAATGGTTGGCGGCCATGCTGTGGCAGCAACCCACATATAAAGTGGAGGAAGATTGGCACAGATGTTAGCTCAGGGCTAATCTTCCTCAGCACAAAAAAAAAAAAAAAAAAAAGGATTATGAAAACCAACTAACTTACCACCCTCTTCCAAAGCTTCAGTTCTTTGATTAACATTTAGTCCATGAATAGCAGATAGTAAATTCTTCCCTCTAGAACTATTAATAACAGACCAATAAATTACTACAGGTCAATCAAATGTTAAAAATATTTCAAGATAGTACCTTTCATTTTCTCTTAGTATGTCCCTTCCTTTCTTCCAGGTGTAGACAGGTTTCGGAGAAGCTTTGGGCTTACACTCGATGACAACTTCACCTCCCACTTTGACAAGAGTTACCCTTTTTAAGAGGGTTCTCGAAAAGTCCGGACCCAAGGCTGGAAGAGAATATAGAAAATAAAATAAGTAATTATTATGGAAGGAACAAACCCCAATAGATCTTTAGACTTTTTCTTCCTGTAATGCACTTATTGTTGCATCGGGCAACAAAGGGAGGAAGTTTTTTCCTAAAGCAAAGGGAGTAAGTACTGTAGGTTTTGATGGATTTATTAAAATTTGAGGTATAATTTACACATTGCAAAATGCACCAGTTATAAGTGTTCAGCTTGATGAATCTGGTATACTATACTATGACGATCAAGATAAAGAACACTCCATCACTTTATCAAGGGATTCTTTAAAAAAAATTAGTCCATGTTCTAATGAACAAAAATTTAAAAATTTCAGGAAAGCAAAAGGGAAAGACAAGAAAATCGATGAAGCATTTTTCTGATTGTGTAGGCTGAAGCATTCCCTCTTAGATACAGTTACTGCCTCTGCTCTGTCCCATAGCATTCTGTACATGTCTCCACCAGACAACATGCTGAAATGTCTATATCATCACCCTCCGTGAGCTTCTTCTTAAAAACAAGGGCTTCCTTCCGCTTCCCACTACTACTGCCTAACGCAATGCTCAGCTCACGCGGAGAAATTGCGACTTGCTCTTAGAAAACTCTATTCCATGCTCACTACTAGTATTCTAAAAAATTCACTCATGTTGACACCAAATATATAGTTACTATATAATCTTACATAATTAATAATTGATTAATATTCCATTAATTATTTAGGAAAGAATTATTTCTTTCCTAAAACAATAGATACACATTTATATCCTCTCAGAAGGAATATAAAAGACACCTTTCTGAAAAATCTCCATTTTCTTCTGAGTTAATTAAATTAACACATTCTAGAGCCTGTTGTGAGAAGAGATTTCTCTCTTCAATTTTTACCATATTTAAAATCCCTCATGTCCTGAAGTTTGACCTGATGGAATTTAAGATTTCAGGCCATGTTGAGGATGAAATTTAAATACTAACCAGAAATTACTTAAAGAAGAACAGGGAGTAAGTGTGTGTGTATGTGGGTGAGGAGAACGGGTCGATTTCTTAAATGTACCCAAACCATAAGTTCATGATTTTAAAAAAACAAAAACAAGCTTCAACAGAAGCAAGTTAAATCTTTACTAAGTGCTTTTGTTGTGGAAATATTTTCAGTAATTGTCTAGAAGGAAAGAGAGATGGGAAGTTTACAATTTTTTTTTTTTTTTTGGCTGAGGAAGATTCACCCTGAGCTAACATCTATTGCCAATCTTCCTCTACTTTGTATGTGAGCCACTGTCACAGCATGGCCACTGATAGATGAGTGGTGTAGGTTCACGCCTAGGAACTGAACCCAGGCCTCCAAAACAGAGCACACTGAACTTAACCACTAGGCCACCAGGGCTGGCCTAGGAAGGTTACTTTTTAATGGGGTGATGCAAAGTACACATAGGGCTGGTTTTACTATGTGAAGGTAAAATTAAATAAATGGATCTAGTAGGCAATTGCTATCTCAATCAGTCTACCTTGGATTCATGAGGAGAGTCTATAATTCAGAGAGTACTTCTATAATGATAAGTGCAATTAATATGTAGAGAGCAAGTACAGATGTTTCTGCTATAATGAGATAAGTGCATTCCTAGTATGATCTAGAAAATCACATAATAAAAATTATAGGGTTTGGGCCAGCCCAGTGGTGCAGTGGTTAAGCGTGAGCATTCCTCTTCCGTGGCCCAGGGTTTGCCGGTTCGGATCCTAGGTGTGGACATGACACTGCTTGGCACGCCATGCTGTGGTAGGCGTCCCACATGTAAAGTGGAGGAAGATGGGCATGGATGTTAGCTCAGGGCCAGTCTTCCTCAAACAAAAGAGGAGGATTGGCAGCAGTTAGCTCAGGGCTGGTCTTCCTCAAAAAAAAAACCCAAAAAACAACAAAAAAAATTATAGGGTTATGAAAAAGATAAGGTCAGGACAGACCTAGTCAATATTTATGTAACAAAAACACTAACAAAAACAATAATCATCCTAGTAAATATTTAAGCATGATTAAAAAGACAGCTTGAATTCCTAATAGATAAACACTACAAAAAATACAAGATTTCAGTGCGTGTGTGTATGTGTGTATGAAGAGAGCTTGATGGCAGAGGGACGAAGGAAGAGCTGAGTTTGCTAAACTATGAAACAAGGCAAACTGCAGAAAAACTGAGGAGAACCATGCTCTAAGCACTGCCAGGTTAGAGTAAGTGGCTGGACTGAGCCAAGACGAAGAATGTGGGGTGAAGGGGAATCATGGTCAGTACGCTTTTTGCCTCGGCTGGTTGTGCTGATCTGTGCTAGTGGGCTCTGTGGTTGGCTGCTGCACCCAGTGACACACATGGACAAAGCTAGCACCTACGTTGTACTGCATTGTTCCCCATTTACCAATCCCACACAGGCTCATATGCAACATAGAAAGGTTCTCACCGCAGAACAAACTCATCTTAGGTAAACACCTAAACTGACACAGTAATGTAAAAAAAAAATGAAGTCCCTGGAAGTTTTTTAAAAAGGATATTTTGTGAAATAGAGTTACAAATCTGTATCATATAAAAATCCCTTCTTAAAACTATATCTTTCTAAACAGATATATTTTTATCACTTTAGGCAAATATTTTTCTTCTGTTCAGGAGGAATTCTGCAGTTGCATTTGAAATGAGTTTACGTAAATCAAACTGTGCACAACACATGGGTGGATTTGTCAAAAAACTATATATTGCTTTTATGGGATTTGAAATAGTGTGATATCAGCCACACAGAAGGAAGAAAACACACATTCCAGTTTCAAAAACATTTGTACTGTACTGTTTATGTGCATATTATCTTTTGGATATCCTAGAGATAAGACTGGTTTTGAAAATCTTTCACTAATAAAAATGGAATTATAAATTCAAATATTTTTCCCTTTCTTTACTCAATTTCCTTAATTTACTTCTAGTGTTATCAACCCTGCAAATCTATCAGTTGCGACTATAAGTGGTAGTGCTTTCTAGGGCAAAATTGTCAGACTTGCAGCAGTTTTGTTTTTTTTTTTTTTAGGAAGATTAGCCCTGAGCTAACTACTGCCAGTCCTCCTCTTTTTTCTGAGGAAGCCTGGCCCTGAGCTAACAGCGTGCCCATCTTCCTCTTCTTTATATGTGGGACGCCTACCACAGCATGGTGTGCCAAGCGGTGCCACGTCCACACCCGGGATCCAAACCAGCAAACCCCAGGCCGCTGAGAAGCGGAACGTGCGAACTTAATCACTGCGCCACCAGGCCAGCCCAGCAGTTTTTGAATACTTGAGCCATTAATGGGTTTCTTAACATTCTGCCATTTTGTGAACATCTTTTGCATTCGAGATGCCTTTAAGCTTGTGGAATGATGCTTTTTTCCTGTTTGTACCCTATATTTACTCTGATTTCCAAACATTGGCCCAGGAGAAGCATTAAAGAAAAGTGAAAGAAGCCTGTTCAATTTGACATTCACAGAGAACGAGGGTTTAAAAGTTATTGGTAAGTCCCCAGTAGGGTGCTATGAGAATCCAACCTTGGCTAGCACTGAAAAAATTAATGCAAGCTGAAGGTGAAACTTCGCTAGATTTCTAATAGTTCAGAAAAGATGAAACCAATGGTCAAATTATGCACTTGAGTCTGAGAGTAGCTCAGATACTGGGAACATCCTCATTTGCTAAATCACTTAGAGGATAATATTTCTTTCATGGACTACTGTGGGCACTGCTCTCTCAGTGTTGGAATGAGTCATGCTACAGGACCTCTTCCAGGTGGGAAATGCAACCTGTTTGTTTTTTATCAATGATCTTTAATACATTAACGTCACATTATCTACGAGAAGCATACAGCTGAGAGAGCCCTCTATGCAATTCTCATCTGTTTGTTTTTACTTAATTAAATTACTCTTGGTCACATGTTAAGGGTATTTTAAGTGGCCAATAGAACCCTTGAAAACAAAAGTTTTGTACCTTAGTACCATTTCCCAAGAGAGATGGTAAGAATGATAATGCCTTAACAGGATGTGCACTGGCTGTCCCACTTGGGAAATATATGGGTGTGATGTTTTACTCTACTATTTAAGAGCAAAAGATAATCATGCATGCCAGTTCTTTCACAGTCTGTAGAAACATCACTGGGAACATTGCCAGTTGATGGGGACTATTAAGGCTGGGCCCTTTAGAAGTTCAGAATTTCATATTATTTTAACCTTTATCTATTATCTTTAACTATTACCTCATCATTCCATAAAAATAAACCTAGAGGGAATGCATTCATTCAAATATTTCCACCACTGAAGAGACAACGCTGGTGTTACATGTTAAAACCCTCAACTTCTCCTGGCTACAGTGGGAATTTTCTTCTTTCTAGGTCCATCATTTCAGGATGGTGGATTCAAAATCAGCCCTCTCTGATCAAGGATAATATTTGCAAGGAGACTCTCAACAAGACTCTAAAGTAAGATTTTCCAGTCCTAAGATCAGCGTGATGTGTCCCTTCTACGTCCCTAACACCAGGCCCTACTTGCTGGTTTCCACTGAATGCCCTTTTTCTCTAGGGCTCGTCCTACCATGGTAATTCATATTTATGGGCTTCTGTTCCTTTGGAGCAGAAATAATAATATTTACAGTCACAAGGTTGTTTTGAAGATTAAATAACACATGTATTGCACATTAAGTACTGAGCACAATATTTGCCCAGAGTAAGAACTTCATACCTACTCCCCCCCCTCTGCTATTTCCACTGCTGCCACTACCACCACCACCATTATTAGGAGACTTTATGCTGAAAAACTTCTTAGAGCCAAAGAAATACATCTTGGTTTGAGAAAAACAAAAACATTTTTGTTCTGAAATACTTATAGACTTACAGAAAGTTGCAAAGATAATACAGAGAGGTCCTATGTATCTTTCACTCAGTTTCTCCCAATGGTTACACGATATGTGAGCACTGTATAATATCAAAACCAGGACACTGATAATTGGTACAACA